GCTTCTGACAGCTCCTGCTGACTGTGTGAAGTAATGAGGAATGAAGAAGAAGGAGGAGTTGCACTAGCAGCAGTTGGCATACATATAGGAATCCCTAATTGGGTTGTACTCGCTATAGAGTACCCCACTGCAGGCTAGACAATTATAACATTCTGACACACCCCCATAGCCAAAGTGGGGTGTAATCAGCACAATGAGCAAGCAGGCATAGAGCAGGAGTTCACAATAGCGAGCAAAGCTAGAGTTAATCACAGCGGGCAAGTGAGGAGGAGGAGGAACTGTGGAGGGAGAGAAGATGGGAGGCAACGAATGAAGCTGCAGAGGCACGGGCACAGGAGCGGCTGACTCAGTGGCTACCGAAGCAAGGGCGACGGACTACTGGAGTAACTGGCTCCGCGGCTATAGACGAGCGGTAGGAGCAACGGACCCACTGGCGACTGGTGCAACAGGCTCACTGGCTACCGAAGCATGGGCGACGGACTACAGGCGCTGCAGGCGACACGACAGCTACCTTCACACAACCTCCTCCAGCTGCCCCACACCCCTCGACACACACCCCCTGCTCAAACCCTAGTTCCACTCCCACAGCACCCCCCTTTCACACACCCCCTGCTGCACCCTAGGTTCACTCACAACCCCACCCCCTAGCACCACTCCGTCGACTCCCACACACCCACCCCCCTCAGCGGTAGCTGCAGCAGTGGGAGACAGAGGAGGAGGTGGAGCAGGGGAGACCACACACCCGCCACCCCCTACTCGCCACCCCCAAACCCTAACACAGGGCAGGGCCGGGCGACGGGTAGGGAGGTTACAGGGGGGGGGGGGAGGGCGACGCGCGGCCTCCCAGGGCGCCAAAACAGGCGGTAGAAGGGGCGACGCTCGCCCCCCCCCCCCCCCCCCCCCCCCCCCCCCCTAGGTCCCGGCCCCCCAGGGAGCCGCGACGGGCGACGGGAAAAGAGGGGGGGGGCAGTGCACGTGCCCCCGGTGCGCCGCGACAGGCGACGGAGCATGGCCGAGGCAGGGCCGGGGCAGGGTCGAGGCAGGGCCGAAAGGGGGGGCGACGGGGCCGCAAGGGGCGGCGACGGGGCCGCTGGAGGCGGCGACGGGGCCGCGAAGGGGCCGCGAGGGGCCTGGAAGGGCGGCAACGGGGCCGCGAAGGGGCCGCGAGAGGCCGAGAAGGGCGGCGACGGGGCCGCGAAGGGGCCGCGAGGGGCCTGGAAGGGCGGAAAGTGGGTGGCCGACGAGAAGAAAAAAAAATATGTCGCACGCCACGGGGCGTGGAGCACACAGAGTAGCAGCGGAAGCAGTTAGGTGGGCCCACAGGCCAGGAGCGTACCGTCATCGCCCGGATATAAGACATGTATATCTTATCTCATACATTAAAAAAATCAGTCTTATAAATGGACAAAAATCCGTTTAGAAGATACTTCCTCGTTATACATTTGCCATTTGCCCCTACACACAAATAGGTGTCTTATAATGAGGCTACCCTGTTTATAAGAGACACCCGTATAATAGACAACCCCTGTCTACTATTCAACACTCTCTTATATCCGGGTGATGACGGTAGATGCTCTGATAGCATGTGAAGTAATGAGGAATGAAGAAGGAGGAGTTGCACTAGCAGCAGTTGGCATACATATAGGAAACCCTAATTGGGTTGTACTCGCTATAGAGTACTCCACTGCAGGCTAGACAATTATAACATTCTGACAGACTGTACAAGCACCGCTGGGTCCGAATGTGAAGGGAACCGAATATGAAGGGTCTGAATGTGAAGGGACGCGAATCTGCAACACATCCGCCTGCTAAAGTAAAAATCGTTACAGCGTTCTGAACACATTTCAAATTTTAAAGTTAACGTGCACTTATAATAAAACAAGTTTTTTCAGGGGGTGCGCTTATAATCGAGCAGCAGATATAAGCGCCACACGCCAATTAAAGCTCGCGGCCCAAATTGTTCAACCTTAGTAAGGTTGACCTTTGGGTGGTGGGAGAAGAAGTTGACTTGTTGGGAGTTGGGCTGTTTCCTTTCGCCCAGTTTCGCGCTAGACCCTTGGGGTTTTTGTTGACACGTCAAACCCCTGGGAGCAACCTGGGTTTGCTTCGAGAGCCCCAAATTGCAATCAACATATTGTTGTTCCCTGCTCTCCCATTCGACAAAAAAAAACTGGCCTATCAGACTGCATCTCACTTCTCGTAACCACCCTTCACAACCCAAACAGCACTCAAAACATCACCCCCGTCAACCTTAGTAAGCTTGGCCAGCGCGCCCCGCGATTTGGGCCGCGAGCTTTAAAAGCGCCAGGCGCTTATCCGAGGGTGGCGCTTATATCTGGGGTATGACGGTACCATGTCGCTAGGGAAAATTGCACTAGGGGATTGGGTACAGTGAACACAATTACAGAAGTCATATAGATATAGCATCTAGTTAGACAACCACAGGGCGAAGGGGTGGGGGTACAGTCAAGATGCATTGTACCCCGTACGTACATTATACTGAGGCTACCAAAGTGTTGTCTAAATAGCCCCAAAAAAAAGGAACACATAACACCCCGAACGAAAAAATGGGCCAACAGGGTTGGCACTGTAAAAAAGCTACCCTGATTTTCAAGTAAACCACCCACCAGGGTTCTCGTTATCAGACCAATTTGGTCTGATGGTCTGCGTTTAAGACTGGCTTTTTTGTATTCATCTTAATCCTAAGATTTTGTGTTTGTTCTCATCTGATCAGCAAGATTTGACTTTTAAGTTCGTATGATTTTTTCAGACGTGTAGAATTTTTTATCTGAGGATACAGATAGCGAGTTCGGTTTCGTCTGAAACCGACAACTTGACCCACTAGGCCATAGGCCCAGTTGACCAGAGGACAGGACCACCACAGGTACAGCCGATTGCTGCCTTGTAACTGCACGCGCATTCATTACGCGTGTCTTATACAGCTCTGTAACTGCCTTGTGCAGCCTCGCTGGCATGTATCTGCGGCATATGCTGCCAGGCGTTTGTCGTTTGGGTGGCTGTCGGCGGCGACGCCAACCACAGCCACGACAACGCGCTGTCCCGTTGTGCCAGCGCATTTGCTTTTCGTAGAGGGCGCGCAACACATCACTGTGGTCGTAGTGCCCCCCGCTCCCAACACGCACCGCCTTTCGGTTCTTAGTGCAGTGCACGGTGATGGGGTTTCATGCAGCTGGGTCTGGCTTGAAAACAAGCCTGTTTCTCCTGCTCGTCCTCAGCTCTCTCCCAGCCGAGCATGGATCGTTTCCCTCCCAGCGTCTGATTTCCCAGCGTGACGCTTCCCAGCATCTAGGCTATGGCCGTCCCCGCCGGCGGACCGTGCGATGGGGAGCCCGTGCTTTCCGCCCTAGACTTCCTAACGCGGGGCAAGCAGATCGCTTCTGCTGCCCCTCCGATTGCGTCGACCTCTGCTGCGATACCTTTGCCCAACTCGGAAAATGGCGATCAACACGTGCCAGCAACGACTACCCCAACAACGCTGTTATCCCCCCCGCTCCCTGACGAATGTGCAAATAAGAGCATCCCTCAAGTGTCGGTCGCTACAACCTCTCGCAGTGCTAACCCCGTCTTGCCTGACAGATCTATGAAGAAGCGGTATAAACAGCGTGTTCTCACCGTCTGCCGTCCGGGCGGTCCGACTCAGCCAGCACCGTCAGTTCTTCCGCGCCCCGCGGAACCAGAACCTGAACCCGCGAGTGAAGACTTCGAAGACCCGAAGGGCAAGCAACTGTCGGTTGAGGAGCTTCAGTTGAAGTGCAAGCAGCAGTGGCAGCGGTATTTTCCTTGGCTCCTCATCTCCGAAAACAAGGCAGGCCGCCCGTGCATGCGCTGCAGCGTCTGCATGGTCTTCGGTGACCCGAACTACAAATACGGGCGTAACGGCTAGGCCAATGGCTCCAGTCTCTGCGCAACATGTTCAAGCGGAAGCCAGATGACCCTGACACTATACCAAGTGCGTTAAATGCCGGGAATGAGCTGTATGTTTAGCGTTGTCTCCACATGCTTGTCTAAACACTACATCACCAATTCCAATGTTCCCATGTGCACCCCAACCGCAGGCATCAACTGGGCGAGAGCGCAGCGAGAGCTTGTCACCTTCTCTACCATCCTGGCCACACACCAAGAGGATGTCGGGTGTGCGGACAGCCTGAAACTCATGCTGTCCTCCCCCGACTGGGCGACGTGCTACCCGAACTTCGTCCACCTGTGGATGGCTGTCGCCGTGCTTCCGCTCAGTACCGTCGAGTGCGAGCGCGGCTTCTCACGACAAAACATCATCAAGAGTTGGCTTCGCGGGAACCTGTGCGACGCGAAGCTGGGAGAGCTGATGGCTGTGTCGCTCCTAAACTATGACATGGAGTGGCCCGAGTTGCTGAGGAGGTGGAATGCTTCCAAGAAGCGAAGGCCTGCTAACGATGTGCTGATGGCGTCCGGGGAGAGACAGAGCAAGCGTGCGAGGAAGAGATCGGCCGCAGCTGCAGCAGCAGCAGCTGCACTGGCAGCAGCAGAAGCAGCTGCTCGAGAAGCGGCCCTGGTAACAGAAGCAGCAAGGATGGATGTTGAGTACCCGTGGCTTACCAGGAAAGAACGGGCCACAGTTCCCGTGGGGAGTGAGGATGGTAGTAGTGATAGCAATGAGGACTACGGCTCTAGTGACTCTGACTAGGTCCTTAGCTACTGCCAAGGTTGTTTGATAGAATGAGTATAATTGCAGGTAGTGTTCTTGTAGGCTGACTTGGTTTTTTTTTTTCGTCTAGTTTATCAGACTAGGAAAAATATTTCAGCTTATACTGCAGACCACAAAAATTTCGTCGTCAAAGCCTAAGACCGGGAAAATGTTTTTGAGGGTACTGTCAGACAGGCCCTAAACCTAGCGAGAACCCTGCCACCCACAGCAGGCCACACGACTGATAAGCTTCCACAATAAGGCAAGCAATACAGGAGCATACGAGAGCGCTTGCTAGACTTAGGCTCAAAATGCTCTAGTGAAGACTGAGAGCAAGCAGAGCGGCAGAGGTGGCAAGGACAATGGCAGATGATAGTGCTGCTGCCACTGGGGAGGAGTGGGTGTCCCCTTTGAAAACAGGCGAAGGCGGTGGAGGGGAGGGTGGTGGCAGTAGTGGCTCAGCTCCACCTGTTAGAATGAGAGGAGAGGAGAGGAGAGGAGAGGAGAGGAGGAGAGGAGAGGATGGGAGAGGGGAGAAGAGGAGACGAGTGGGGAGGGGGGGAGAGGAGAGGCAAGGGGAGGAGACAGGGGAGGGGAGGGGAGGAGGGTAGATAGGAGTGACGTGACAGGGGAAGGCGAGTGCGGGGAAAGAGAGCAAGAAGCACACGCGACATAGGAGATTGAATAGTGGGCCGAAAGAAGAGGCTGGTGGCGTTTCAGATCAGACACCGGGTAAGCATGTGTGCGATCCGGAGCACATTGGCAGTATGAGAAACTGATAGTGCACTGATCTATGTGCAGACATATTTCCTGGTGTGTCAGTGGTGGCAATGCAATACCTGTTGCAAGTGAACGATCGACCTGCCTTAGAAATTACAGTGACAGCAGTAAAAGGTAGAGGATAGGTGATGCTCACAACAAAACCCAAAAGACTGAAAGACGACAGACTCGGCATTCGGTGGGTGTGTGTGGGCTGGAGAGATGGAAGGGGCGGGCAGATGTTACGGGCAGGATGAGTAGCAGCAGCTTACAGTTAGGGGCGTCCATCCATCCTGCAATCTCGTTGGTGTAGTCGAGGAAGAGGTACTTGTTGAACAGCGCCGGCTCTGCTCATTGCCATTGCCGCCACATGCAAGTTGCAACCCCCAGTGGAGGGCAGGCAGCAAGAGACGGGCGTGGGGTTGGTGACAGGGAAGTGGGACGGGCAGGGGGAAAGGCAGGCGGCGATGGCTCCAAGGCCCACTCATCTGGTCTCGCCTACTGCTTGTGGGCTGCAGGATTAAGCCAGTCACAATGAGCGCAGCCAAACACTGCTTGCTCCGTAGGATACAACCCTATCAGCTTGCTTAGGCTGGCATGCGGTTGGTAGGCGTGTTGCGAGGAGGAGTGAGTGGTGGGAGGTATCATGGCAGATAGATTGGCAGCACGGCACGGTGCAATGGAGAACAGGTGCCATGCATGCACCCGCGGTGGCAGACGGCTGGTGATGGGCTGTAAAGCACAGGGGTAGGTCGGCGGGGAAAGGGGAAGGGTGCTGGTAGGATCTCAGGTAGAGGGAGGAGTGTGTGGGTGTGCGGAAGGTGGCAGTCTAGTTTTGAGGCGCCTCAAAACTAGGTGGACGCTCTTACCTCCAATCAAGCTGTAGTAGTTTCTGTCGGCAGGAAGATATGTGGCCATAACGCAGTAAGTCAGAGGCGCAATCTGTGGGGCGGCATGTGATTGGGGAAGAACTTTGAGCGACTTAGCAAGGGATAGACCCTTGCTAAGAGAATGGACGTGAGTTGAGAAGAGAACGGAGAGGAGAGGAGAGAGCAACGAGGTGGGGAGAGGAGAGAGGAGAGGAGAGAGGGGAGAGGAGAGAGGAGAGAGGAGAGAGGAGAGAGGAGAGAGGGGAGAGGAGAGAGGAGAGAGGAGAGAGGAGAGAGGGGAGAGGAGAGAGGAGAGAGGAGAGAGGAGAGGGGAGAGAGGGGAGAGGGGAGAGGGGAGAGGGGAAAGGGGAGAGGGGAGAGGAGAGGAGAGAGGAGAGAGGAGAGAGGAGAGAGGAGAGAGGAGAGAGGAGAGAGGAGAGAGGAGAGAGGAGAGGAGAGAGGAGAGGGAGCAATGAAGACTTTGAATGGAATAAGTTTTTTGAGCTTGAGTCAAGTATTGAACAGCTGATGGATCAGCGGAGGGATGGGAGGGGCAGGCATAGGCATGGTAGTAGTGGAGGTGGAGGGGCACGCATTGGGTTGGGAGGAGCGTGAACTGTCTTGGGAGGGGCACGCATTGGATTGGGAGGGTTTGAGACAGCTTGATAAGCACATGTCGGTGGCAGGCAGCTGAAACTGCAACACTGTCAGCCTCCATCCATGATCCTCCAGGTCTGGCATATGTTTGGATGAACTGACATAAGCAGAAAACGAGGCTCCTCAAAAGTTCTCCAACACAAGTTTATGTTGTCGCTGGGTGGGCTAATGCTATGAGAAGAGCCCGTGATTGAATGACAAGAAGGCGTGCTATACCTGGGCGAGGTACTGAGAGGAGAGTGCGAATCACAACAAGCATGCTGACCTAGGCGAGGTACTGCAAAGGGAGGAGCCCATTTTTACCTGGGCGAGGTACTGCAATGAGAGGAGCCCATTTTTACCTGGGCGAGGTACTGCAATGAGAGGAGCCCATTTTTACCTGGGCGAGGTACTGCAATGAGAGGAGCCCATTTTTACCTGGGCGAGGTACTCGCGAGGCTTGAGATAGAAGTGGGAGGTGGCGCTGGTGTTGTCTGCAGAGAGGAAAGAAATGTCGATGGTGGGGAAGGCCGTGAACGGATCCACCGCCTTGTTCTTGTTGCTGCACAAGGAGCATGATTTCGCCAGTGGGGGAGAGGACCGATTGGAGCGAGGGTCAGAGAGCACGCGCTCTCAGGCTCCATTGAAATCAAGGTCCGGTTGCGGGGGGGAAGAGAGGCAGTGCGTTGTTTGTGGTACGTGCATGGAGCGTGGCACTTGGTTGGAAGGATTGACACGAGCAGAGGGATTGACAAGAGCTGAGAGGTGCACTCTCAACTCAACTCAACCCAACTCAACGGGGTTCATGCAATAAAGTTGGAAAGCTTACGTGAAGCATACAAGCCGATACATGTCCTTGTCATATCCATAAAAGGTTAAATCTTGCCCTGTCATGTCTGCGAGCTGGAATTAGCGGAAGCAGATGCACATGCACATGCAGATGCAGATGCAGATGAAGATGCGTAAAAGGGTACAATGAGAAGTGGTTACGTGCAAAAGGAACCCGGCACATGAGCAGCCTAAGAGGGGCGCTCTCGCATGGACGAAGCATGCTTTTCCAGCATGCTTTTACAGCATGCTTTTACAGCAAGCACGAAGCACGAACCCCTCCAGGGTCCAAAGCTGAACTCACCAAAGCACGAGAGAGAGGCCCGTTCGAGAGAGAGAGAGAGAGAGAGGCGGAAGCGAACATACCTTGTCGAGAAGATCAATCAAGAGAGGGTAGCGCAGGAGATGCACGAAGGACTCGGGCATGAAGTAGAAGCCCGGCGTGGTATCCTGAGGGAAGTCCGCCGGCACGTCGGCTGGGTCGTCTGTGATGTTGAGGGTGTGCGTGGCGTTGCTTATTGTCATCTGGCTGTATTGCATACCGACCACGAATGACCTGGCGCAGGAGAGATTGCACATGGGTGGCGGGGAAGAGGTGGCTGGGTGGATGGGTGGATGGGTGGATGGGTGGATGGGTGGATGGGTGGATGGGTGAATGGATGGATGGATGGATGGATGGATAGATGGATGGATGGATGGATGGATGGATGGATGGATGGATGGATGGATGGATGGATGGATGGATGGATGGATGGATGGATGGATGGATGGATGGATGGATGGATGGATGGATGGATGGATGGATGGATGGATGGATGGATGGATGGATGGATAGATGAGTGGGAAGAGACACAGATCAAGACGACAGCAGGAAGAAGGCAGAACCATCTCTTGTAAGAGCGCGAGGGGTTGCGAGAGCACGAGGGACTGAGGGAGCGCAGGAGGGTGTCGTGTGGGATTACATATGCGAGTAGCTGGCGCCGGCAGGGAGGCCGGTGGCTCCGATGGTGAGATGGCTGCTGCCTGTCTGCAGCGGCAGCTCGCCATCCCACCCCGTCTTGTTGGTGGGGGTCGGCTCCTCCAGACACACCGCAAAGGCGCTTGGGTCATTAATGCCGGTGAGCTGCCAGAGGAAGGGGCTGCCCCACCCCAGCCCCAGCACGCCTCCTGCTGCCCATGACCCGTACTGCCACCCCTGCATGCCCCAGTAGCCCTGCTGGTTCACTCCACAGCTGGGGAGGCAATGGGGGGCAGCAGAGAGCAGGAGAGTGAGGGACAGAACAAAGGAGCGGATAATGCAGCGCGGGAGGAAGCACGGGAGAGATTATGGGCAAGAACAAGGAAAGACTCACCCAAAAACGATGGATCGGTTGACTTCGGTACCATCAGGTGCAGTGAGGTAGACGGTGTCCTCCACCACATGCCCCACCGACTGAAGGTACGATCCCGTATCAAAGTCAGCTTCGTAGTAGTCATAGCCTGATGCGCTCGCACTGTACACGCAGAGAGCGTCGTCCCCAGGCAGCAGGCCCGTGGTGTTGATGTAGTTGCCGAGCCCATCTGTGTTGCAGCCGTAGTAGCCGGAGTCAACACCCGTCATGCAGCGCTGGTCGCTGCAGGAGATGTACTTGAGGGTTGTGGAGGCGAGCGTGCTGAAGGGCTTGCTTGTTGTGGTCTGCGGGACAAGTGAGAGGGGAAGAGGGGAGGGGAAGAGGGGAGGGGAAGAGGGGAGGGGAAGGAGGAGACGTGAGGTAAGGCTAGAGGGGAACGACATGTGTAAGATCAGTGTGGAGGGAGAGGGCGAAGGGGCGGAAGGAGTTGTGGTGGGCGGGAAAAAGGATGTACTCTTGTAACAAGAACAGGGATGCAGCATGCATGCATGCACACACTACCAGTGCAACACCCTGTTTTCCCCCTCGCACTCCCCGCTGGGTGTGGGTGGGTGGGTGGGTGGGCGGAGGGCGGAGCGAAAGCCCACACACACACGCACCCCCTTGCGCATGGAGCCGCAGTGCAGGCAGTCGCAGGGCACGAACGTGTCTTGTATAAGCACATTGAGCGCCATGCTGAACTGCTGCTTCTGCGACCCCAGCTTGAGATTCACGTAGTACGGATACACGCTGGTGGGGGGAGAGAGAGTCGTGAGGGTGGGTGGGGGACGTGAGGGTGGGTGACGTGAGGGTGGGTGACGTGAGGGTTTTTGAGAATTCTCAAAAACCGGTGACATGAGGGTGGGAGAAGTGAGCGTGGGTGGGGGGAGAAAGCGGAGAAAGAGGGGAGAAGGAACGTGGGAAGCGTCTGTTGTGAAGGGCTGGGGCCGGGGATGATGGTTGACCGAGAGAGGGGTGCTTGCGAGTTGCTGAGAGAGGGCGGCGTGAGAGTGCGTTTTGAGAGAGTGAGTGAGAGTGGTGGGCAGCGAGTGGCGGGCAGCGAGTGGCGGGCAGCGAGTGGCGGGCAGCGAGTGGCCGGCAGCGAGTGGCGGGCAGCGAGTGGCCGGCAGCGAGTGGCGGGCAGCGAGTGGCGGGCAGCGAGTGGCGGGCAGCGAGTGGCGGGCAGCGAGTGGCCGGCAGCGAGTGGCCGGCAGGGCAGAGAGTGGCGGGCAGAGAGTGGGGCATGGCATGGCGGCACATACGGGAGGCGGATCTGGTTGTCATTGAGGAAGGTGCTGTAGTTGACCATGGTGTTGCCCATTGTGCCATTGGCCGTTGAGACCAGCGCGCTCTCGTAGTTCAACAGCGGCAAACGATACCCCTTCTCCTGCACGCACGCACGCAGTGATGCACGCAAGTGAACAGCAACCAGGTAGGTAGGTGGGTAGGACAGGACAGCCCATGTGAGATGAGACGATTTCAGAGGAGGCTCAGAAGCAATGGCCAAGGATACGCCATTGCAGGGAAGCAACGAGGTGGGAAGGAACAACGATTCACAGCCAGACAGACAGACGCGCAACATGACAGACAGAGCTGAAGAGGCAGCCGCAGAGGCACGTGGGACGTTCGCTAGGCAAGGTAGTAGTAGGTAGGGGGGAGGGTAAGCGGAGGGGAAACGAGCGAGCCGGGACGCATTGAGAAGCAACGGAGCAACGGAAGAAGGGACGGAAGAACGGAGCAACTCAGAGCAATGGAGCAATGGATCGCACAGAGCGCTTGTGCTGTCGAGTCGAGTCCAACCAACTCAGGTCCTCGCAGCAAAGCAAGGCGAATGCTGGCAAATGGCAGGCAACGTGGTGCCTGCCCTGCCCACGCAGAGTCAATGGCTCCTCAATGGGGCTTTCTCAGCTCAGCTCCACGCAGCAAGGCGAATGCTCGAATGGCAGGCAGCACGAGCACTGCCACCGTTCCACCTGCCACCTGCCACCTGCCACCTGTTTCCGGCCACCGTTCCACGACTGCCCGAGACTACACAATTTGGTGTGCACAAGCAGTAGCACTGCTGCTGCTGCGTCGGCTCGTGGTCGTGTGCGCTCACGCACCTGCGATACCGTGCCTGACGCTTCCGGGGGCTTCATGCCTTGCCCCATGCTCTGCGCCGCGCATCATGTCACGGATTGTGAGAGACGGGGAGAGGGGGGGCCGAGGATGCATGCAATCGCAAAGACAGTAAGAGCCGGCAGCGGAGTGGCAGAGGTAAAGTAGTAAAGATGTCTATGCAACGGCATGCAACGGCATGCAACCCCATGCAACGGCATGCAACCCCATGCAACGCCATGCAACGCCGTGCGCATGCCTCATCATCATCATCATCATAAAGTACACGCTCGTGCACCACTGTCTCTCCATACGCCCCACGTGGGGCGGCATATCGTGATATCGTACAGCGTTGAGGGCGGCATATAGTAGTGTACTGATATCGTGAAAGACAATTCGAGCAGCAAATTCCTCACCCCGTCCTCTCCCCCCCCTCACTGCTCACCGCGAGGATCCGGCGGTGCAGCTCGTCCCTGCTGCGGGCGTCTTCCGCGCGCTGCAGGGGGAAGAAGTGCGCGCCCGCTTCCGCTGATCGCCGCTTCCACTCCGCAATCGACTCCGCCGCGCCGTCATTGCTCCCCGTGTTGGCTACCCTTCTGCCTCCGCTTGCGGCTGATGGGCCCTGCTGGCGCCCTCCGGATGCCCCGACCTGCCATGAGTCGAAATAATTAATTGCTCACACCGTTTGTTTAAAGAGTGTGAGTCACCGTCACGGCGCTACTCACCACGAGCAATCAACATGTAGTAGTTAAGGTCAGTTATCGCAGGAATGTTTCTAGAAAACGCTAGTGGGGGGCATCATCAACTGCGACTCGTGAGATCCAATACCTCCGGTGACTGCGATTCGAACTGCCCCCCATGAGAATCTGCGACACCCCCGGCGGCGGGAATCCCGCTGCGGGAATGCGGCTGAGCGTCCGCAGCGGCTATCTCGGGGCCGTGGCGCGCGTGGATCCGCAAGACGCTGAGGGAGAGGAGCAGGAGCGGCACGAGCTGACGTGCGGAGGCGCGACGGTACGAGAAAGCCATGGCGGTAGTCCCAACGGGGGAGTGGGTTTGTGTATTACAATGAGAGAAAATGCTGGTACTAGTAGTACAGTATCAACCGACTCGTGGATGGAGGCAGGCGGACGCCGCGCTTCGGCAGGGAAAGCTTTGGTGTGGCTGGCTGTGAAGGCAACTCCGGGGCCACGTAGTATGTAGCACGACTTCACTCCCGATCGGACGATTGGATGGGGGCTGCTCGGGCAGATGCTGGTTCCGTGCAATGTGGAATTTCGATTTGACGTACTACTGTAATGGTTGGTCGGTGATGAGGAGCGATCCGAGGACGTGCGCTCGATGGCATGGCAGGCAGCCAGACAATAAAGCGCTGTTTAGGAATCAACATGTGTAGCAGACTTCAAGTCGTGATACGTGCCAAACCTGGTTTGGGGTTCGGGCCAGACCAGACCAGGCTCGGGCGGTAGGCTTCGAAGCGACCAAGCCAGCCGTCTTTGTAAAGCAGCGGTGGGCGCTAAACCGTTGGATTCGATGTGTCGACTCATCCGACCGTCGAGAAGGGCAGAAGCGTGGTGTATGGTTTTAGGTTTGGAAAGAGACTCGGTAACATGGCCCACTTTCATTCTAGATGCTTGTAAGGAAAATCCACTATGACACCACACGAGTTCGTGAAAATCCGCCCTAGATTGGGCAGCCATGACGTAGTATCTAGTTCAAGAAAGAACCACCTACCCCTCCCAAGAGAGTTCAAACAATGGTCACTCAAAACTCAGATCAGCATCCATTTTTAAAGCATGGTCTATCCAAGAAAGAGTGTCGTTCAAGTGGTGCAGAGAACTATCCAGGCAATGGTGTAGCCAGTGAAGAGAAAAAGACCAACAATGACGTCTATTTTGACTGCAAGCCGGTAATTCCCTTCTTTGGCTCTGTCGGGGTTGGATTGCCTCACATGGTAGCCAAACAACCGGAATCTCTGCCAAGACAATGCACCAATCAGTTTTGGGAGAAATGAGGAGAAGTTTAATGTTCTAGAAATGCAGAGAAAACCAGCAATGCAGCAGCATAGTGGTACATACCAGCAGCCCCGGGACGACGTTCTTCTGCTTCTCCTCAGCTGCAGCAGCCCTCCTCTCCGCTGCAGCCTCCGCAATGGCTTCAGGGTCGTTGCTGTCAGCTCCATCCGCGTCCTCCCCACCGCCCATCAGCTTCTCGCCTGCTGCCCTGTCCCCAGCAGGGCGCTTGAAGGAGAGGGCGGGCGGCAGAGTGTCCTGCACGAGCTCCTGCACGTTCTTCTCGATGCGCTCGGCGATGCAGAAGGCGATGAGGGTCTCCATGGTGCACAGCCAGATGACAATGTACGACACTATCATCAGATACCCAAAGTTGGTTATCGCTGACGTGCGCGGCAGCTGCATGCACATGCAGGTGGGGTGGGAACAGGGAGGGGGGTTGAGAGGGCAAGGAGGGATTTATGAGGGGTTTGGAAGCAGTGTTGAATGAGCGTGGAAGAAGAAACTTTGGGTTTGGAAGAGGGGGCTGAGGTGAGAGCGGGGGGAAGAAGGGCGAAGAAGTTTGGGGAGGTTTGGAGTGAAGTGAAGTGAGAGGTGGGTACTAAAGTGCCAGGCTGATGCTTCAAGGGGAGAGGAGATTGAGAGAAGGGGGGAAGCTTGTAAGGATTGACCTGGCTGTGATTGTGAGAAGGGGGTGGGGTGTGTGCGTGAGGGGAGTGTGCTTGAGGGGAGTGTGCTTGAGGGGAGTGTGCTTGAGGGGAGTGTGCTTGAGGAGAGTGTGCTTGGGGGGAGTGTTTGTGGAGGGAGTGTGCCGGCCTTGGCTGTCAGTGCCGAACCTGGCTGTCAATGACGAACTGGATGGCTACGAGTGCAAGGAAGAGCGTGAGGCACGCCCCCAATCGAATCTCGAGATCCTCTGGCTTTGCTATGAAGGCCGTGAATGTGAGATAGACGCTCAGGATGACCGGCAGCAGCACCTGGTGGGGCGAAGGAGGGGGGAGAGAGAGGAGAGAGGTGAGAGGCGAGAGGAGAGAGGAGGAGGACGAGGACGAGGACGAGGACGAGGACGAGGAGGAGGAGGAGGAGGAGGAGGAGGAGGAGGAGGAGGAGGAGGAGGAGGAGGAGGAGGAGGAGGAGGAGGAGGAGGAGGAGGAGGAGGAGGAGGGGGAGGGGGAAAGGGGGAAGGGAGGTTGAACATTTGATAAAAGAAAGGGGTTGGGGGAGAGATATTGCAAAGACAGGTTATGGGCCAGAAACAAGGGGGAGGACATAGTCCAGAGAGGAGTGACATGAAATGAATGTACAATCAACGGAAGGTATGGATGCGCACAGACAGGTTCAAAGACTAAGGCAGAGAAGGCAGGATGAGATGATGTGTGGAGGAGAGCAGAAGAGCGTTGGAAGACCAGAACGGCAGCGAGTGAGTGAGAGAGAGAGAGAGAGAGAGAGAGAGAGAGAGAGAGAGAGAGAGAGAGAGAGAGAGAGAGGCCTAGTCCTTAGCCTCCCCAACCCTCTTCAGCCTAGTATAAAGGCCTTAGGATCTGGCCCTTGAGCCTCATTATTCAGTTCAGTGTTCATTTGCTCTCATAACCGAGCGGGAGAGAGAGGAGAGAGAGAGAGAGAGGCCTAGTCCTTAGCCTCCCCAACCCTCTTCAGCCTAGTATAAAGGCCTTAGGACCTGGCCCTTGAGCCTCATTATTCAGTTCAGTGTTCATTTGCTCTCATAACCGAGCGGGAGAGAGAGGAGAGAGAGAGAGAGGCCTAGTCCTTAGCAGAAGGCGCCCCGGCGGGCGCAGCCTGTGGCGGCACGGAGGCCGCCACAGCAGCCGCATACGAAGCCGCAGCGGCGGGCGCAGGAGGTTGCGCCAGAGCAGGCGCCGCGGCAGGCGCAGGAGCAGACGCGGCTGCCGGCACCGGTGCAGTCGCCGCAGCAGGCGCAGGAGCAGATGCCACACCGCGTGCTCCCAGGTGCGCCACTTCAGGAGCAGGGGCTGTCACCACAGCAGGCGCGGACGACGACGCCACGGCAGGGGGTGGCGCCACAACAGGCGCAGGGGCCAGGTCAGCAGGAGGCACAGGCGACGGCGCAGACACAGGATCGGGAGGGGGCGACATCCCCGCAGGCAAAGGGCCTTGGCGAATACACGAGATCGTCCCCAAGCGCGACAGGCATCTCGGCGAGGACGAGGCGCGGGGCAGCAGAACACGGGTGGACGAAACGGCGGACCAAAGAACGGGTTCCAACGAGCAGCGCGAAGGGCTTTAACTCGAGAAGCAACTAATGAAGAGGAAGAAGCACGGGACGCTACTTATATTCCCACAGAGGTAGCTGAGTCCTCAGAGGAAGACGCAGTCGAGGAGGAATTGTGCCTGCTTGGGGAGAGAATCGCAACACCAAGCCAAACCGCATCGAGGAATTTGGCCGGCCCCGAAATCGAACCGCATCTGCAAACATTTCCCCCTCCCGAGCCGCGCCAAATCTTGCACCAACTGGTCGGGCCGCCCCTCCTGGCCGAACCCAACCCACCACCACCCAGCCAATTCTCCCACCACCGCTGGAGGAAAAATCGTCAGAGGCACTGGCTGCTGATAACACGCTTTTCGCTGCCGTGGAAACTTGGGACTTGACGAAACTCTGCGACACTCGCAACGCACCTCTGCCACGCCACCTCCCACAGGACATCCGCCCAATTTTCGCGACACCAAGTGGGCTTTAACTCGAGAAGCAACTAATGAAGAGGAAGAGCAGCTGCTAGCCCCTCTGCTCCGACTGGCTGACAACCCAGAATCACTGACAGCATGGACAGTTTTCTTGTTCCTCGCACGCCTGACGCTGAGACAACACACTCCTCAAAAACCGGATTGGCCTGCAGTCAGAGCAAGATTACGACAGTTCTTGGCGGGGGAGTGGAGTGCACTGTACTCTGACATGCTCGACTCTCTGACCTACCCTCAAGCGCCCAGGCATACCCCTGACGACTTAGGAGTGATTGCAAGGGCAGAGGGCCTTGCGCGACGTGGCAGCCTAAGGAGAGCGGTTCTGGCCCTGGAGGCGACGCCGGTGTGCACCCCGTCACCAGCAATCCTGGAAGCACTGCGCGCCAAGCACCCACCTGCTCCTGAAGCACCCCTCGTTTGGCCGGTACCTGACTCCAACGCCCACTTGACAGCCACCCTGCCCGAGTTTCTCAGAGTTCTGTCACGCTGTGACAATGGGATTGGGGCGGGCCCATCAGGTCTGACATTCGAGCATGTGCGGGAGGCGTGTCTAGTCAACCAGTCAGTGGCGACAAACATCCACGCAATGGTCAACACCATTCTGACAGGGAAACTGCCATCCCCAGTCGCCAGGCTCCTCACAGCGTCTCGCCTACTGGCTCTCTCCAAACCAGACGGAGGGACAAGGCAGATCGCTATTGGTGAAAGCATCACCAGACTCGCCGCCAAAACAGCTCTGATGTTGACAGCAGGGGCAGCAAGAAAATTCTTCATGCCACACCAGTTCGGCGTGGCAGTGCCTGGGGGAGCGGAGGCGGTTATCCACATCACCCGCGCCTACCTACCTGAAAATCCTTTTGCACTAGTCCTCCAGGCAGACCTAGCCAACGCCTTCAACAGTGTCAACAGAGCCGCAATAGCATCCGCGCTAGACAACTCGGCTCTAGCACCACTACTACCATTAGTATAGCTCACCTACGGGGCCCCCTCACCGCTCTACCTGGACGAGGGCTTCAAGCATGAGCCCCTGCTAAGCATGACGGGAGTTCGGCAGGGAGACCCTCTTGGGCCACTGCTGTTTGCAACTGCAATCAATCCCGCGCTACAAGCTACAGCCCAAGCCTTCCCTACTGTAGCCTGCCTAGCGTACGCAGACGACGTCACCTTCCTAGGGGAGCAATCTACCTGCGTAGCAGCGTTTCAGCACTTCACAGAGAGCCTCATGCCAATTGGCCTGCATCATAACCCATCTAAATGCGCGGCCTGGTCACAGTCAGGCATCCCCACCTCTGCCTTACCCCAGGGTGTCCCGTTCACTAGAAACGGCGTGAAGCTGCTAGGCAGTTTCATAGGCTCCGATGAGGCCACAGCAGACTTCATTCGTTCAAACCTTAGCTCCATGGCGGCACCTCTTGGCCTGATAGCACGGATGGAACCTCAGCTGGCTGCCCTGCTACTCTCCAGGTGTATCTCAAGACGAGTTTCTTACCTCACCCGGACCACACCCCTCATGCATTTGCCTCTGAATGAGTGGTCCGGTTGGGGCAGGCAGTTGTTTGAGACTCTGTTAACGGCATGTGGCATTAGGCATCCGCGGGGTGATGCTGAGATCTCTCGTACATGGTCCCAAGCTTCGCTGCCAGTATCACTTGGGGGCCTCGGAATCACTGACCCCGCGGTCGAGGGCAGCTACAGCTACCTAGCTAGCTTTACCCAGGCACAGCAGCTGCTCTCAACCCTTGAAGATAGCCAGTTAGGGCCCCTGACGGGGACACGGGTGCAGATGATGGGACCGTACACAGACTCCTGCGCTCTCTACCGCTGGCTAGCTCAGTGCGAGGCAGACCTACCGAGTGATGCCGGGGAGCTACTACAGAGTGACAGGGCTGCTCCCACGGGTGTGAAGCTGCAGCAGGAGCTAGCTTTGGCAGTTCAGGGCAGAAGATATGCTAACCAGGTGGAGAGCACACGAGGCATGACCCCAAACCCCAATAGCGGCCACACGCAGCGCCTTCTCTCTTTGTCAGGGTACGGAGCCGGGGACTGGCTCCATGCAGTCTCGCTCATGCCCTCCCTGAGGCTCGACGGTCCCCACTTTGCCACAGCCCTCCAGTTCAGGCTAGGACTACCATTTTTAGCCCCCGGCGCTTGTGACTGCACCAAGCAGGTTCCCATCCCAGACAAACGGCTTCCAAACCATCGGCTACGCTGCGCCACAGGAGGGGGAAGGACAAATACTCACAACGAGCTGAGGGATGAGTGCATTAGGATGGCACAGTACGCCGGTTTCATGGTGCACAAGGAAACGGCGGAGTTCTGCCCGGTCACTCGGAAGACAACGGACCTAGCCATTCGTGATCGGTCCTCAGGGGCAGTATGGATCGGGGACGTCACCATCACTGACCCCATCAGCACGCGCGACCCCAATGCGGTGAAAGGGAGGGGGTGGGCTGCCAGGGAAGCCGCTTGCAAAAAAATCTCAGACTACAGCGGCTCCCCGGCAGCCTACGTCTCATTCGTACCCCTCGCAGTCGAGACTTATGGCTGCCCATGCGCAGAGGTCCCCGCTTTCCTCAAGCTCTTGGCTCACACGGCTGCACGCAAGCTCTTCAACGCCGACCCTTCAACCTACCAGGCGGCAAAACTACTCAACCAGTTCCGCCAGAGATGGTCGATCGCCCTTCAGCGCGCGCAGGCCGTAAGCTACATGGCCAAGTGCAACATGGCAGCAGAGGCCCAGAACCCTCTTGTCGGGGCCCTTGGCGAGGAAATGTCCCTGGGGGACTGTTTTGTGGTGCTCGAACCTACTACTGAGCTTCCAGTGGGGGGGGGGGTGGGGGGTGGTGGTTGGTGGGTGGGGTTGTAGGTTGTTCTTGGGATCTGGTTTGCTGCTAGGTTGTTCTTTTAGTCTCTGGTGTTGCCTGTTTCTATGCTACCTCGATCGTTTGTACTCTCCTCCCTCCGCCTCGGGCCCTCTCAGTTCTCCACAGCGGCCTCCTTCCGCTTAGGCCTGCCCCTACCTGTGCCAAGGCGCTGTGACTGCAGATACCGCACCACATTCCCCGACGACTGCCTACCGAACCATTTGATGCGGTGCGAGAAAGGGGGGGGGAGAATTGCAACTCACAATGCCCTTCGGGACGAGTGCGCAAAGATAGCTGCGGAAGCGGGCTTCACCGTGCATAAGGAGACAACGGCTTACTCACCGGTCGAAAACCTCAAAGCGGATATCTATATCCGCCATCCCGACACCGGTGAGGTGTGGATCTGTGACATCACGGTCACGGACCCCATCTCCCTCCAGGATGAATTCGCCCGTAAAGCTCCCGGTTGGGCTGCTAGAATGCAGGCGGACAAGAAGGCAAGCAAATACGCCAGGCGAAGCGCTTGGGTGGGCTTTTACGCCTTGGCGGTTGAGACCTACGGTTACCACATCAGGCGGACCACTGACGCGGTGGCGCTGACAACGTCAACAGGAGTTCCGCGAGATCCGACAAGCGCCTTCAGATCCAGGGCCTTCTCGGCCAGCTGGGTGGCCGAGACTACTCCCGGCAAGGGCGCAACCTGCAGTGGCGATACGTACGAGAATAGCGCTGACGCTGCCGCATGACACCGTGCTCGCGGCATCTGAGAGAATGTGCTCGGTGGGGTCACCGCCATGGAGCCATGGGACTCCAGGAGTATCAGCTCAAGGCTCTGCAGGCTCTCCGCCAGCGACCACAAGCGCGCCAGGGTCGCCGTGGGCACTTCCTTCATCGGCGGAAGGACAGCAGCGGCGCGCGTTCGGCGGGACGACACAGCGAGATCACGTGGAGGGGAGCGAGGACGCAGGGGTGCACACGCGGCCCAGGGATCCCCACCACCCGCGCCCACGAAGCCAGCCCCTGCTGGCAGGGGACGACCAGGACGCACAAGGGAGCCCTCTGGGTTGTGCGGCAGGAGGGCAGCAAGAGGAACGACGGGGCCAGCCGGAGGCACGGTATGAGATGACGCCTCCGCGTTCGAGAGGTGGAGCGCTTTCTCCACGCCGTCCAACCTTCGGAGAACGCGCTCCAGTTCGGACGGCGCTTGACGCGCCGTTCCGCCGCGACCATAACCTCCCCGCTGCCCACGACGCCCACGCCCACTTGCATTCGAGTGAGCGGGCGACTGCTGGCGAGATGGGACGCGTTGGCGCTGGCGACCAGGTGATCGGCCCCCGTGACGAGGAGAGTAGAGTCGCTGGCGCTTTGACGGCCGCGGCGAACGCGCAGACGGGGACCGAGGGCGAGAAGCGTGCGGAGCAGGCGATCGATAATGTGTGGCTTGGCGACCGGGCGAGCGGTGACAACGCGACCGGCGGTCCGGAGATCGGCTCCTCGATGCCGCGCGGCGAGGTGAACGTGGTGAGTGCGGTGATCGCGGCTTCCGAGGCAATCGAGGCTCGGCGTGACGTTCCACACGGTGACTCTCCTGCCCGTCACCGCGCGCCACTGTCGAACGGCGACGAGGCGAACGTTCCCGGCGCAGGCGCTGGTCCGGGCCGCTGATCTTCGAAACGGCGACGAATCTTATCAGCGGCACCCAGCGGAGCGACAGGGACGCTCGCGGCAGGACGCGCAGGAGGAAGCGGACGGGGAGCGAGATCGCTCACCACGGAACACCTGCGGTCAGGAGCAGCCATGGGATCCATCGGAGCAGCGGGATGATGGCGCTCGCCCAACGGGCGGCCGACGCGGCGGAGGTAGAGCTGCAGGCCAGGGAGGACGAACAGCTGGACGCGGCGGGAGAGCTCGAGGCGGCGGTCCGGAGAACGTGTACCAGCAGGCCGGACGTAGGGCTTTAACTGAGATGAGCAACGATAATCATACAACCACTTCAGACAGCAGCTTTGTAGCTGCAGAGTCCACGGACTCGACCTCTAGCTCGGAGTCACTGGAAGACGAGCAGCAACAGACCCCTGCTCGAGCAAGCAGGCCAGCAGCATCTCACCTGCCGGGGGGGAACTCAGTTGTGAGATCCAACAGGAGGGGTCCCCCAACACCAACCAGGGCCGCATCGGGCAATTTTGCCCCTCCACCAATCCCAACCCCGATTTCCAACATTCAGACCCCTACCCACACCGCCCCCCAACCTGCACCTGGCGGTAACCACGTCCCAACCCAACCCTTAGAGGAAAAATCCCCCGAAACGCTCGCCAAGTACGATACGCTATTCGCCAGCGTTTCAGCCTGGGATCTCACGAAATTGCGCGACTCTCGCCACGCACCCCTTTCCCGCCACCTCCCACCAGACCCACGCAAGCTTTTCGCCACAGCCTTGTTGGTGCCGCTGTTGCGCTTGGCGAAATATCCAGACTCGACCTCTGCTTGGACGGTCGTTCTACTTCTCGCGCGTTTAACACTTCGCCAGCTGTCCCCACGACGTCCTGACTGGAAGGCTGTCAGTGCCCGCCTTCGTCAGTTTCTGTCCAGAGAATGGAACAAGCTATACACCGAGACAGTAAGCTCACTGACGTGGCCCCAACCACCTAGACACCAGCCCGATGACATTGGTGTCATCGCTAGGGCAGAGGGGTTGGCGCGACGTGGTAGCCTACGACGAGCCGTGATGGCACTTGAAGCCACGCCAGTCAGCATTCCCTCCCCAACCGTGCTGGAGGCCCTGCGCGCCAAGCACCCGCCAGCGCCCGCCTCCCCACCTGACTGGACATTTCCAGCACCTGACCCTCACCTATCGGCACCGTTTGCAGTCTTCTCCAAGGTGCTGGGAAGCTGCGAGATGGGAGTGGGAGCGGGCCCTTCTGGAACAACGTTTGAACACTTACGCGATGCAGCGCTGATCAACCACTCCGTTGGGAAACACCTGCACGCACTAGTCAACACGATACTGACAGGAAACTTACCTCCTGCAGTGGCTGAGCTCCTCACCGCCTCAAGATTGATTGCCCTGAGCAAGCCCGTTGGGGGGACGCGGCCAATTGCCATCGTCGAAAGCATGACACGCCTCGCGGCTAAGACGGCGCTTACCTTGACCGCAGGGGCCGCCCGTGAGTTCTTCCTGCCGCACCAGTTCGGCGTGGCAGTCCCTGGTGGGGCGGAGGCGATTATCCACACCACACGCACTTACCTCACGGTGAACACAGGAGCTTTGGTCCTGCAGGCTGATCTGGCGAACGCTTTTAACAGCGTTAACCGCGATGCCATCATCACATCTCTCCGGGACTCCACTCTCGCTTCACTCTTACCGTTAGTTAAACTGCTGTACGGCCTTCCCTCGGCTCTATGTCTGGACGCTGGCTTCTCACACCCACCTCTGCTGAGCGAGACCGGGGGGTGCGACAGGGAGATCCCCTCGGCCCGTTGTTGTTCGCTGCCGCCATACACCCTGCGCTGACGAAAACAGCGCTCAGCTTCCCCTCTGTGGTCTGTCTTGCCTATGCGGACGACGTAACTTTTCTTGGAGATGCAGCCACGTGTGCGGCGGCGTTTGAGGACTTCACAGGAAACCTTGGGGAGATCGGGCTGCGCCACAACCCAGCCAAGTGCGCAGCCTGGTCTCAGGCAGGCCGGCAGGGAGCAGCGCTACCAGTGGGCGTACCTTACACTGAAGATGGGGTGAAGGTGCTTGGCAGCTTCATCGGTGGCAGCTACGCAACTGCCGCGTTCCTACGTGCCAGCCTCGACACCATGGGCGGGCCGCTGCCCTTAATCGCACGGATGGAGCCGCAGCTGGCTTCCCTCCTGCTCTCACTGTGCATCTCACGACGGATCGCTTACGTCGCCCGCACCACGCCGCTTTCAGCCTTGCCAGTCGAGGAGTGGTCAGACTGGGGTAAAAGGCTGTTTGAGACGTTGCTGACTGCCTGCGGCATTCGCCACCCACGGGGAGAGGCCGAGATTTCACGTACCTGGGCGCAAGCGTCACTCCCCATCTTACCAGGCAACAAAGCTGCTGCATCAGTTCCGCCAGCGGTGGTCCGTGGCGCTGCAGCGGGCGCAGTCGGTGAGCTTCATGACGAAGTGCAACTATGCGGCACAGGTGGAGAACCCACCTGTGTTGCTGCCGGGCGAAGGCATGTCCCTCGGGGACTGCCTTGCCATCCTGGAGCCTGCATTGGAGCTGCCTTAGAGGGTGAACGAGAGTAGGTAGGATATGAGGGTTTTAGAGGCTGAGGTGCATTGCTTCTTATAACCTTGTGCATGTCTGTACCTTGCTCGGATCTAATACACGGACCGCTTGAGAGAGAGAGAGAGAGAGAGAGAGAGAGAGAGAGAGAGAGAGAGAGAGAGAGAGAGAGAGAGAGAGAGAGAGAGAGAGAGAGAGAGAGGCGGCAGGGATGGGAGCGTACGGCAATGACGTAAACCCCGCTGGTGCGTTGGATGTGGATGGTGAAGATGCATGTGGCGCTCTGGTTGCTCGCTGCCCCATCGCTGCTGCTAGCCGTGTTGTCTGTTATGGCGTTCCACGGGTCCTCTGGGGGCGAGCGGGAGCAGCAGCAGCAGGCAGCACGCAGGCGCATGTGGGGGGAGTTGGTGATGGAGCAGGGGGGGGGGAGCACAGAGGGAGGGGAGGGAGCAGAGGGAAGGGTGAGAGCAGTGGCAGGCTGCCACTTTGGCAGATAATCTGTGGGTGGAGGGGGGGGGCGTATAGCGTGTATACGAAATACGTAAATACGCTTGGAAAACGCTAAAATTCGTTCGGGCAGCCCGCAGAAAAAATAATAAGAAACACTGAACAAGCAATCGCAACATTTGCGATGTCGCGACATACGTTAGAATTAGGGTACGGTCCTAGCCGGTGTCACACTCGCTGACACAAAGATATGAACGCTTTGGATCGTTTCAAATCATCGTAGCCCCAATCTCAACCCTTCATAGCTTCGTGTCAGGGTTCCTGACACCGGCCAAGAACGTTCCCTTAGACGTCGAACCCGCGCGAACCCTGTCAATCAAATTTTGAACACCATATCTTCCCCCACCCACAACCACACACCACCCCACTCAACCCCCTAACCCAACCACTCCACTCCCCGTTTTACTTCCTCTCGTCTGCAGGTTCATAGCACTTGCGCACTTCCGCAGTTCAGATATGATTCTGGCTGACAACTCTGATTGCGATTGCTGAATGGCAGTCTTATTTAGATAGCTGCGCCTTAGATAGCTGCGCCTTATTTAGATAGTCGCTGAACATCTGACCATAAAATTCGTTTTACTGAAGGACATGTCGACCTCCCCCTCTCTCCTTCACGAATTGTTCTATCTGCCCGTTAGAGAGTTTTCCCTGCCCTCCCAGCGTATTTTCGCGTATTTTCGGTACGGGAGCAAGGGCGTATGGCGTATATACACTAGCTTATCGTACGCTAGCGTAGGATACGCGAAACGCGTATCTGCCAATATGGCAGGCAGCGGTGGGAGAAGAGGGAGGGGTGAGAGCAGAGGAAGAAAAGGGAGTGATCTCAGGAATCATGAATGTGTGCGCACCCACACACCCACACACCCACCCATCCACACACTCACGCACCCACACGCGCACCCACGCCTCCACGCACACACACCGGGATGGCAGGTGGGCGGAGGTGGTTACCAGGAGCGTAGGAGGCGGAGCTGCTGACAGTGGTGTCAGCGGGAGCGCAGTCGAGCGCCACACTGGTGATCTTCCAGCCCGTGACCTCATCATTCACGTACGTGCCTCCCCCTCCCCCCAGCTGCCCACCGCCCTGCTCCGACTGCCGCCCCGAGTTGCTCCCCACCAGGTAGAACTCGCCGCTGCCCTCCACTGCCACCACCAACCGCAGGACCTGGGGGGGAAGGGGTTGGGGGAAGGTTGGTTGGGGGGACGAGCGGGGTGGGGAGACACAAGGAAGAGGAGGAAAAGCGGGGAAGAGAAAGGAGAAGATGTGGGATTCTGTAGGTGAGGAGTGGAGGGAGGGAGGGAGACTGCGCAGACGCGATGCCACCAATGCCTGAGACGCACGTGGATGGGTGCGGGCGTTCTTACTTTATGCTTATGGATGAAAGTCAATAACAATAGCCGGCAGCGGATTGTTGAGAGAAGGCGTGAAGAGTTACCAACCTGGGAGTCGAAGGGGAATCTCCGGAAGGTGAAGGGCGAGGAGAATGTTCCTGCTCGATAGGAAAGGGGGGGAGAAGCGAGATGAGGAAAGAGGGAGAGGGAGGGAGGGATGGGGAGAGGGAGGGAGTGAGGAGGGGAGGGACCAAAGTGCCTTGGATGTGGCTGAAGGGCATAAATGCCAGCGTTTCAAGGGCAGAGCGGCTATTGGTGAACAAGGGCGGAAGAGCGGAGCAGAGCAAGGCAGGGCAGAGCAGAGCAGAGGGTGCAACAGCAGAGCGAGGGAGGAGGGGAGAGCATGTGGGTGGGTGGCAGCAGAGCATGTGCGACGATGCCGTACCCTCAACGATGGACTCTCTGTCGACGGCACTGGCGTCGGTGCTGTAACCGCCAAAGAAGAATATGCTCTCTGCACAGACAGGCACGCGCACGAGGAGGACACGAGGGGGACACGGGGGCATGCACGGCGCGAGAGATACATTTGCTGTGCCATGCACGTACACTGCATGCTTCCTAGCAAGCACCTGCCATGGCATGGCATGGCATTGCATGGCGTGTGTGTGCGCGCTCAAGATAAGCCTTGAACGTGGGAGGAAGAGGAAGACACCGCATTAATACAAAGGACCGTTGGAAAGAAGAGGAGAGAGGAGGTGGGGCTTGCCAGTTTGGTATCAGGAGGAGGTGGGGCTGACCAGTCTGGTAGCGGTCCTGCGGGTAGAGGACGGCGTTGGGGATGGTGAGCGAGGGGATCCAGAGGGCGTCGCAGCACGTGATGCCCGCAGGAGTGCACTTCTTGCTGCACCCGTCCATCTGCGGCAGGTTGTTCTGCACCATGGGTCGCAGGGAGGGGGGTGGGACGATATTGGTGGTGGTGGTGTGTAGGGGGAGGAGGGAAAGGGGTTAGTGGGGGATTCGAGTTTTAAGCGGGTGCATCACCACCTTATCAGCACGTGCCACAGCCTCCCGCTCAAGGCTGCGTCTCCCTTCCCTCCCACCCCCCCCTTCCTCCCCCCACATCCCCATCCACATCCACCCCCGCACGCCCCCACGGCGGTCCCCCTTTGACCTGCTTGGTGGTTTTGAGGCAGTCGTCCTTCTGGCTGATGTTGAACCCTGTGAACGTCACGTTGGGCTTGCAGTCCTCCACAGCCTTCCACGTCAAAGCTGGCCCCACCGCCGACAGCACCTTGTTGATTGCCACCGTGTCGTTCACTGCCGTGCCACGTCATGCCGCGTCATACTGTGTCACGCCATGCCATGCCATGCCATGCCATGCCATGCCATGCCATGTCACGCCATGTCATGCCATGCCATGTCACGCGATGTCACGCCATGGCATGCCATAGCATGCCATTCCACTCCATGCCAAGCCAGGCCGGGAGAAGAGCGCGGAATACTCCCACCATGAGATGCACCCATCAATGCGCACCCGCGAAACGACCCGACCATACCAATGAACGGCACGGCACCAAGTTGGGGTGTACGAGGCGGGAAGTTCAAGAACGCAGCTAAATAACTGCCTAGTATTCCCTTTTGCTTGTGCTTTGTCCTTTCGATGGGGCGATAGCGGCACGCACCTCGCGGGTCGCGCCAGGTGGTGACGATGGAGAAGTAGGTGCTGTAGCTGTACTGGACCTCTGCTCGGCGCCATGCCATGCGCGCCCACAGGGGGGGTGGGAAAGGGGGGAGAGAGGAAAGAAGGGAGGGGGGAGGGGATTGGGAGAGGAATTTCAAGAGAGAAGGCCGTGCGATTGTCTCCCCGGCCGAAAGCAATTCTTGGGCGTTTTGTGCGATGGGAATGACCCGAAGACTTGCTACCAGGAGTAGGCCAACATTTGAGCGGAAGGGGACGGATGGCGACGTGGAAGTAGCGGAGCTGCGCGCACGCTCGTCGCTACCGATGGCAGCGAAATAGGCGACGGGGGAAGGGGAGGAAGGGAGGGGGGAAGGGGAGGAGGGAGGGCGGTAAGGGGAAAGGGGGGAAAAGGGGGAAAGAGGAAGGGGGGGTGCGAAATGTGGGGACGGCGCAGAGTAGTAGTAGGTAGTGCGCGTACCGTCGACGGCGACGAGCTTCTTGAGGAGCACGGAGACGTAGACGGGCGGCTTGTTGTCGACCAGCCCCGCCGAGTACGGGTCGATGCCCTGCCCCAGCAGCGGACAGTCCGTCTGCGCCACCGCCCCGCGCACTCCGCCGCCTCCGCCGGCGCGCTCATCCGCCGGCGCCAGGAGCGTGAGCAGCAGCAGCAACAGCAGCGGAATCGCCGCGGCACGGGGAGGCGGCATCGACGGCAAGGGGAATCGGCGATTGAATGGTGATAGTAGTGACGTGGGGATGTGGACGATGGATGGAGCAGTACTCGAATTGCTAGTAGTAGCAATGACGTATGATGATGGGGACCGTGACCCGGGATACTATTTCGGGAATGGCCCAGAAGAATAACGAGAAAGAGAGCCAGAGGCGTCGTTTGCTCCGGAGAGCAGTGGAGCCGGAGTGGCAGCTCGATGCAATGCGGGCTGTGAGGCCTGTCATGTTGTGTGGTGTGGTGTGGTGGAGTGGAGTGACGGTGCTGCGGGCCAGCGAACACCGTGTCGCGTGAGGGGACGGATACTTGTGTTGCGTTGCGAGAGTGCAGGGGGGGTGGGGAGAGAATGAAAGGAGGTGAGGTGACTCGGGGTAAGATGCGTCGCGGGGGGAGCGCCGGTAATGCGCGACAGCGAATCTGGGACGCGCATGATTGAAGAGAAGGTGGCGTGGGGAAGATACTAATTCGGTTAGGGCGGTCGAGGTTCTGGCTTGGCTTTGGTTTGGCATGGGAGTGAACATTTCGACCACTAATCTGGGGGCTTGCTGCTCAGGGGAGGTCTGGTTCGGTCGGCTGCTGGCTTCGTAGAATATGTAGCACGACTTCGGGGGAAATTTAGTCTAGAAATTGTGAACCTAACTAAGCATCATTTTGTAGTGTAGTCTGAAGGTTGAGCTGTTATAAGCTGTGTATTCTCATTCACTCTGAACAGGAAGGAAACCATATATTGGGTCATGTCCGAAGAGTCGTCTGAATGCGGTTTGAAAAGGCTTGGTACGTCTTAAAGTGGTTCGTGTTACAAATAGAATGGTTGGGTAAGTATAGTCTTGAGTACGCTGTTTTCGGACCCGCCCTTATAATCTAGTGTTGTCTCGCTGACCTACACAGAGTAGAATAGGTTAAGTCAGAGGAGCCACCATGAGGGGACACACAGTGCAAGTTTCAACCAAGTGAGAGACAAGCATAGGCTACTTCCAACGTGGCCATAAAACGATCGCACGACACACATTTGGAGCTGACCAGTAGTTGCCGATTTTTAGGGCAAACCGTGCCTGTATATTAGCGCTGCCCATGTGTTGCACGACTTCACCGTGCATGTCCCCACCCCATCCTCCAGTGGTACAGGCAGAACAGAATGCTTCCCCCTTCCCCCGCACCGCACTGCGCTCCGCGCTCCTCGCCACCAGCGGCTCCACATCACCCTCCCAACTCACCCATTCCATTCGCGCAAATGCCTCACACCCTCAGTAGCGCACAAGCATCAGGAGGAGACATTCACGCGCGCGTCCCTCTTCGAGTCTCAGCTCAACTCGACATTCTCGCTGGGGCCAAGAGCAAAGCCAGTCGTCCATCGCGCGGCCTTGTGTGAACCTGTTTCAATTTCTTGATTCATAGTACTAGGTCGTGCGAGGGCAATCATGGCTGCTCGTGTCGCTCACCGGAGGGATTCGCCAATGTCCCTCGTGCTGCTGCTCGCAATCATGCTGCTCCCGTGGGCCGCGAATTTTGGCGCCAAATGCGGAGGCGTTCAGCTAGCAGCGGCGCAGACGGACTGCCCGCTGATTGGTCAGGGCATCGACCCGTACACGGCGGGGGTTGTGGCGGAAAAGCCCAAAGTGTTTCTCTCCGTGCAGCTCAAGAAACTCGTCACCGTCGACGGTGAGCCGTAGTAGAAGTAACCGCATGGCGTGATTGCACCTCAGTCCAGGCTGAACAGGCTCAAGTTGTGTCGACGGTAAGCCACAGTAACCGCATGAATGCGCTGCTCTACTTGCATTGCCGCACCCGCACGCACCCGCACGCACCCGCGCGCACCCGCCGCCTGCTAAGATGCACGCGCGCGCGCGCGTACAGACAGGCAATCCCCTCGTCCACCCCTGTACGTGTAAGGGGCCCGCACAAAACCGTTGTGCAACACACACAATCACCCACACCTACAAGCACGATCGTCAACCCCTCCCAAATATGATAATTCCGTCCCTCCATGTTCCCCCCCCACCTCCCACCTCCCCTCCCTCCCCCCCCCCCCCTCCCCCTCCTCTCCCCCCCCCCCCCCCCCCCTTCTCTCCCTCAGCTGCAGCCGTGAAGTACAGCTACATGGCGTATTTCCAAGTCATCTCCACGTGGCGCGACCCTCGAGGTGCGTCTCGCCATCCCCTCTGCCGCTGCTGCTTGCCTCGCGCGGCCCCGCACGCACGCCCCCTGTTCCGCCTTTCGCGAAACCGTGCCGCCTTGTCCGTATAGCCCGTTCTTGTTGTAGATCATGCCGCCAAGTAATAGCTGATGATGGTGTTGGTGGTGGTGAAGGGTGGATCGCCTTTCGGGCTGAAAGGATCCGTTTTCATTTTCACAATCAGGGCCGGCTTTCACTCACTGCCATTGTGATTGTGAACGTGTGGTTGTGGTTCTCTGACTGCCATCCATCGCGATTGTAAACAACCCTGGTTCCGTTTCTCACTGTCCCCCTCACTTCTGCCTCTGCCTCGGCCTGAACATCCGTGTGTGCGTGCGGGTTGTGCGCGTGTCTGTGCGGCCTCTGCCTGTGCGTGCGTGCATGCGGGCCGGCAGTGAACGACACGCTGGCGATAAACAACGCGGTGAACGCGTTCGGGCCGGCCATCACGGGGCTGGCGACGGCCAAATGCAAGCCGGACGTGACGTTTTCGGGGTTCA